TTCTGGAACCAAGCTGGAAAAATAAACTTCAACTAGGTGAAACGTGTGTGTGTGTGTGTGTGTGTGTGTGTGTGTGTGTTTGCTCTTCTGTTAGCTCTAATTTTGTGTGTGAGAGAGAGAGAGAGAGAGAGAGAGAGAGAGAGAGAGAGAGAGAGAGAGAGGCGTGCATTCAGGAAAAGCATAACTGCTCACATTGTCCCCGGATTGACTGTGATCTTCCCCCACCCCAACCCCACTCCCGAAAAAGCTTTGGTCGCCTCTCGAGTCTCCAATTTAACGTTGACAACCCAGCGGCGCTCCCTAATGGCCCAGCGGGTTGCACAAATTGGCAGTGCGCTGAGATATTATCAGGACAACACCCCATTGAGTAAGTTCTTGAAACACAGAAGTGGAGGCCCTTTCTCTGGGCCACTGGGCGCCTGTGCCCTTTCCACCAATCAGAGCTGGAGGTTGCAGTGGCCACCTGTTGTCGGGAAAGAGAACATCATTTAAGTTCCACTATGAGTATTTAACAATGCTGTATAGTGCAGGGTCTGGCCACAAGAGAGGAGCAGCCTGGGGAGCCTGAAGAAGATTTTTCACCCCAAATAGCTCTTAAGAGGATCCCACATAGCTGGGAAACTGAATCTGTCTTTACACACTCATTCCTCAGCTTCTGCTCCTTCTATTGTACATCTGGAGCAATCTGAACGTGACTACAAAGGGTAGAGTAAAGTAAAATCAAAGTTACAGAGCTAGAGTAAACCTAAAGTTGTAATCAGACCTCCAGGATAAGGTATACAAATACTCTTCACAGTGCAAACCTCTCTAGCTGCCTGGCCAGGAATTGCAGGTCTGCTGAAGAGTTGCATTAAGCATTGCACGACTGAAATGAAAACTTGCTCCCAAGAGGCTCTCAGAAGTTAGGAGCATCCAGGCACATCTGGACTACCTCTTGCCCACTCTTTCAGATGTATTTCCTTTAAAGTCCCTTCCCTGATGGGGAGCAAATACCTTGGGGGGGGGGAGAATCATTGGTCTTCATTTTATTATTATAACTTAGGATGTCAGGTGAGCAACAGTCGAGAGTATAGGTTTTCATTAGAGAAGGGAGGAAAGGAAATTGGATGAGATTTAAGATGTGTGTCTTGAGGCCTTTAGAATGAGAAAAATCAGAAGTCCTTTGGGAAAGCACCCCACTTGATGGTGTTACCCAATCCCCACACGTTCAGCAGACATTACTATGTGCTCATCATGTGCCAGACCCTGTTTTAGGAGCCTGTGAATGAGGAAGAAAATCCCAATCCAACGCAAAGATCCTAAAGGGATTATGAATTGGACTACACATACACACAAACACATGCCCTGTCCTTTCTTGTCACCTGGAGATCATGCCAAGCCACAGTTGCTGCTGCCATGGAGAGAAATGACCTGATAAACAAATTTACATCTACTATAAGCAATGCAAGATTGGGACCTCCAGGGAATTTGCAAAGGGAGGCAACAGGGAGGAGGTGGTACTCACTGCTGATGACTGGAGGATCCCAAGAACCTCACGTCATGCTTGGTATAGTGTGTTTGCAATAAGTAAATACTCTTTTAAGAAAGGGTGTTTAGAAGGACATTGAGAAGGAAAAGAAGAGAGCGAGGAGAAGTAGGAAACAAAAGGAGACTTACTAGTGAAGTACTATATCTGGTAAGGGAGAATTTGAAAAGAGTGTGCCCAGGAAGACCCCCAGTTTAGATCAGAGCAGTCTACTTTAGGGAGGAAGAATAGTCTGCTGCTTCAGTCTCTGTGTGTGCTAAAACTAAAATTATATATTTTTCATTTAGAACTGATCTGATTGAGTTCTCCACTGCATTTGAAATACATCTAACTTTAAGAGTTGGAGTGGATTCTACTCATTCATTAAAAAAATTTAAAACAATGTTCTAAAATATTAAGGTAATTGTAACTGTTGTGCTATTTGTCATCCAAGGGTTTTACCTCTTCCGGCCTATCAGCACTGTTGTTTATGAAATGCCATAGACAAAGACTTCCTTTATACTAAGCCTTGAATTTGAAGAAGCTTCCCTGACAATGTATCTTAAATATGCTTTGAATTTATGCTGAACAGCACTAACTGCTATTAAGAAGGACAGCAGAAAAATCCATTGTACAACCAAAACCTCAACTTCTGAGCAAAAGAAAATTTCTTTAGGATTTTTACATGATTCGGGTCAAAATTGTCACTCATTACTTTGTTTCTAATTAAATAGTTGGTGTTGCTGAAGAACCTCTTCTTAATACACCAACTTCTAAATAATAAAAAGTGGGAAAATACACCAACTTCTAAATAATAAAAATACTACATCTTGATAGAACTCTGAAAACTTTATTTCTGTATTTTATCTTGCTCCATATTAAATAAGAAGGTCCCCATGAGAATTGCCTTAAGCTAAACGTACTGGGTGTTATAAGCAGAAATCTTACTGAGACTCCTACATTCAGGGATCTGTGAAAGTAATTTAACCCCTCTTGTTCTGCTTGCCCAGATGAGATGAGGATGCTATTAAACATTATATATAATCTAAACCTCTTGAGTTTTGGTGATGAAAAGTCTTATCCAAATATTATGATCCTCATTTGCAATGTGTAATGTAGCCAAATTAACAGCAGCTTCAAATGGAAATTAACAAGGCCAAAGCTACTCAGTGTTTTTTTTTTTTTTCTCATCTATTTCCATAGTAACAGCTAGCGTATTATATTGGTAAAACATCTGATAGTTGGTTTTATATCTGAATTTGGCTTCATGTCATAAAGAGTAGCATTCCCATCCAGTCTGTATTCTTAATAAGTGTATATAATTCATCGCTTCAATTTAAGAGAGTTTTGTGTCAGAAAATCAACCCTTCACACCCATAGTCTAGATCACAGATAGAGAGTGTCATGATAATTATTATGAGAGCTATGGTAGATAGCTGCACACATTGTATAGAGAAGGAATTGCGATGTTGGGGCTCTCATTACACACCTCCAGGGCAGTATTCACAGCTAATCACCAACACAGAGTTCCACACAGAAGTTAGAGTGCGGAAAAAAAAAAAATCCCCATGCATAGTTATTTTTAGGTTCAGTTTTTGAAGGACCTAAACTTTTTTGGTCTGGAAATTGGAGCTATTTTAATATTTTTATTTTGCTCAAAAATATGAGCAAATGGGAAAAATCCTTTCCTTCATGATAATAAAGACATATTCAGTTGTGTACATGAGGTTGCTTCTTATATAACTAAAAGCAATTTGGGGCATATTGGTCTCTGTACCACCAAGCACAAGAAAAGTTCTAAAAACCTAATCATCTTCCTCTGGATTATTACTTTTACTAAGAATAGATATACCCATAGGCTCTGACAGATATATAATAATTATAGAAGAGTAACCCCAAAACCCTAGATGTGAAAAAGTACTAAGTATAGTGTGTTCATTCCCAGAAATATGAAGTGCATCAAGCATTTGCTTGTGACCCAACGAAGTCTCCAACAAAGCTACTTTAGAAGCCAGTACACTCAACACAATCAAGAGGTGTGCAATTTTCAGTGTATTTACACCCTATCTTAAAAAAAAATCCTGTATTCATAGAAACCCTAAACTGCTGTCCTGCCTGTACTCTGAAATATATTCTATTTCTTCCAAAGTGAAAGAATGACCTCTTTTGCAGGAACAATTTTCAGAGACAGTGTGTTTATCAAATGGTTTCTCTGCTTTCATAAAAACAATTTATTTTCACTGAACTCTTCAAGATAAGCATCAAAGCCAGGAAGAATGTACAATGAAGTTTATAATTACACTTCAGAAACAAATACTGGGTAGTTTTTATTTTTCTCAAGTGGAAAAGATTTCCCCCCTAAAGAGACAAAGGTAGTGATGGGGGAGGAGGTTTATATGGGAGAGAAAATCAGGAAGCCCAGACGGTTTACAGCAGGAGGAGCCCCGCAGTGCTGCCTACAAAGACCACAGCCTGAACAATGGGAGCCAAAGACCCAGTACTTTCCTAGCAAATGGGTGGGGGTCAGTCCTTGTGTGTGCATGCGTGTGTGTGTATGTGTGTGTGTGTGTGCGCGCGTGTGCACGTGAGTGTTTTACTAAGGCATAGTTACAGGAGCATTAAGGAGAGAAAATCATTAGGTGGATCCACTAAACCCTTCTATGGCTGATCTGTATAGCTTTCTAGGTAGCCTGATACAATTGAAATAAATATCTTTCCTAGTTGAAGCTTCCAGTGGCATCCTTTCTTTGATCAGCATCCATGTTTCTAGTCTGAATTTATACGGCCTGGTATTTTTAATAATCACTAAACAATAAAACTATGAAAAGTAACCTAGAAAAAAATTGAGTCTAATAAAGATTTGGTTTCTTAAGAAATGGGAAACAATTGCATTTGATCGCAGAACTGCCAAGGACTAGCAGAAAAATAATCTCCCCTAATTTACATAGATCTGTGCGTGCCAAACAGATGAGTGTTTGCTTTCCGAGTAATAGTGCAGGTGCACATCCTGCAGTGACTAAATCTCTACCTCATCAAACTGTTTCGCCAGAGTGGGACATGCCGTCTTTTTCTGGAACAGTTTCAAGTTTTCTCCCCACCATTCCAGCCACCTGTTTATGGAGTTCATCCTCCGGAGTCGATGCATGCAATTAGAAACAAGAAAATGAAAATAAATGACCTTGTTTGTTATTTATAACAAAGAAACTCAGCAAAATTAATGCTGTGGAGCTTGACCTCGTGACCCTGGAGAAAGAGCCACCTCATGGCTTTGCAGCCAGCACACAATAGTCTGGCAGCTTCCATTGTCCAGCCTCTGTGACTTTTGGATGGTCATTAAAACCATATATCCAAAATATTAAATGTTTTACAAGTTAGATTAGAGGATTTACACTTTTTAAGAAAGCATGTTCAAAGAAGTGAGGCTAGTGAGCACAAGAGCTTTTATAGAAAACAGGTAAAATCATTTAGCTTTATCTACTCACTGAGTCCTTTGTCAACAGTATGCTGAACAAAAAGGAAAATATTAAAACATTTTTAAAGTGGGACTTGAAATTGAAGAATAGGTAACTATATAATAGAAGTCAAATAGGAAAGTGGTCTGTGCATGTGGTCGAGGACAAACACACGTTTCCTACCTGTGAAGGCTCTCAGTGCACAAGAAAAGCCGGTCCTTTCTGTTACTAAATTTAGTGTGGACACTGCCCCTGGAGTTGTGCAGTGCAATGGTGTGCTGGTTCCTGCTCTCCCCCACTGTCAACCTACACACCCAAGCAGCCCAAGGCAGACCGAAAATGGAGACTACAGTGGAGCTGTGAAGGTTTCTCAAAACTGGAGCTTGGCTGGAACATCTTGAGACGGAAAAGCTAATAAAAAAGGGACACTCTCGGTCACTGTGTGGGAGTCTCAGGCTGGCCTGTTACTATCTGTTGCTTTCTTTGCCTCTATTGTTCCTCTCCCTTATTCACACACAGTTTCATGAGTGTCTTCGATTCTTTTAGGCCTTAAACTGAAGCCCATATCTGATGTTTTCCCTCCCAACTCGCTTGTATGTTGACATATTTGCCTAGAGCTACCATGTCTTTCACTTTTATTTTTCCTCCTGAAAAAAAGAAACATTTCTTTTTAAAAAAAACAATTTTTTTAAAAAACTCTTATTTAAAAAAATTATTTTCAAAAAGTGTTTCTACCATTCATCAAAATGTCCTGTGTATTGTAAAATAAAGCCAGTTTTGTAAGATATGTGAAATGGGTATGCAAACACCACATGTATAACCTTCCTTCCTTACTTTTGTCCTTTCTCTGATCCAATGGCTATTTCACCAACTGCTTCTTCTGGTTGCTTATTGGGGATGCAGTAGTCACAAATTTAGACAGGTCAGTACAGTCCCCAGCTTGGTCTCTCAAGTGCTTACCACAACAAAAGCAACAGCAAAATTAGAGCCATGAAAGACCTAACTTTCTGGTTGAATTCTTTCAAAATGGTTAATTCTCAAGGCCAAAGAAAGGAGATTAAGGATGGTTTTACATTTAACTGGACATCCTTTATTGCCCAGCAAGGGAGGGCTGCTGCAGAGATGCAAGGTCCCTTGGGGAGGAGGCGAGGAGACCAAGAATGTATCAGGCTGGGTTGGGGGTGGGGTTCGTCCAGGTAGCACAGTGTCTTAATGGGTGCTGATTGGGGAAGGTTTGGCATGCATGTGAAAAATAAAAGAGTAACGAAGTAGTTATATTTGTGGTGGGAGTTTGGAGTGGTATCAGCCATGTACTGGATAGATAATACTTCAGCCATCAGTAACCTCTGAAATCTTCGTGGGCTACTGCCACAAAGGATAGTTTCTCCACCACATTCCTGTCCACTACCCATCAGCTGCTGCTCTTTTGCACGTTTTCTTTTCCAGACCAGTACTGAAGCACATGCTTCTGTCTGAGGCATGATAGTCTTTTGGCTGAAGCAGAGCTAGAACAGAGCAGTGCTTGGCTCTCCAAGTCTCTGCTCGTATCACTTGCACTCCTTTTTTCACTGGGTGCAGCAGGTCAGACACAAGATGCAACATCAGCAGGTGAGAGAGTATGTTCCTCCTCAAAGGATAGGTTTGATAGGAAGGGACCTCCGAAAATTCATAGTAATATGCTCAGTGATACGGAAAGAACTTTCCAAAAACTTAACAAAACTCTCAGGAAGTGAAATTGTTTAGCTGGAGTAGTGCATATTGAGGGCAAGAGTATAGTTAGGTAAGACCCTGGGAAGTCGCTGAAGGAACTGGTGGGAAGTGAGACATAACAGACTTTTGAAAGCTTGGCAGCTGAGTCACATTTGATTCAAGAGGCAGCATAAAGGATAGCATAAAAATCATGGCTAGAAATTCTGATCTAAAATTTGCTTTGGCTTCTTTTTCTGGGAAACACCAAATAGTGGATGACACCAGTGCAGCAGGAGGGGCCGGGGCCCCAGGCACCCAGGTATGGGAGGCCGCAGTGGCTTCTGAGGATGCTTCGGCAGTGGCCTTCGAGGTCGTGGGCGCAGCAGAGGCTAAGGCTAGAGCTGAGCCCACTGGGCTCATGGCTAAGGCCAAGGACCGAGTGGATTCCTGTCACCAAGCTAGGTCGGCTGGTCAAAGACATGAAGATCAAGTCCCTGAATGAAATTTATCTTCTTGTCTTACCCATCAAGGATGAATGAAGATCATGCCTATGCAGAAGCAAACTCGTGCTGGCCAGCGGACCAGGTTCAAGGCATTTGTCGCCATTGGGGACTACAATGGTCATGTTGGCCTGGGTGTAAAGTGTTCCAAGGAAGTAGCCACTACCATTTGTGGGGCCATTATCCTGCCAAGCTCTCCATTTTCCCCGAGAGGAAAGGCTACTGGGGAAACAAGATTGGCAAACCCCACACTGTTGCTTGTAAGTTGGCAAACTGTTGTGGCTCTGTGCTGGTGGGTCTGATCCCTGTCCCTAGAAGCACTGCCATTGTCTCAGCCCCTATGCCTAAGAAGCTGCTGCTGATGGCTGGTATTTATGATTATTACACCTCTGCTAGGAGCTGCACGGCTACTTTGGGCAACTTTACTAAGGCCAACTTTGATGCCATCTCCAAGACCTACAGCTATCTGACCCCTGACCTCTGGAAAGAGTCTGTGTTCACCAAGTCTCCCTATCAAGGATTCACCAACCATCCTGTGAAAACCCACACCAGAGTCTCTGTCCAGAGGACTCAAGCTCCAGCAGTAGCTACAACATAAAGGGTTTTTATACAAGAAAAATAAAATGAATTAAGTCTGTCAAAAAAATAAAAATAAATAAAATTTGCTTTGACCCATACACAGGAAATTCATCTAATATTTAATGAGTTAATTCTATGTATCAGGTGTGGTGCTATTATATGTTTACATATATGCATATATATTGAAGTATACATATGTGCATTAAAAATTTGAACTCTCATGACATCTCTCTGAGTAGATGTATTTGGAAGGATAGGACACACAGAGGTTAAATGACTTGCTTAAGGGCACAAATGTAGTATATAGGCAAAGTGATGCAAATTGAGACTTTTTTTCCTATTCTATCACTGCAGGGCAAAGAAATAAAAATGTCATCTTTCTTTAGCAGTGACTTGTTATTTTTTTTATCTTCTTAGGCCCACAGTCTGGATGGATGCAAGCTAATATGCTTTTTCTCCTGAAGCTGAAATTGTCATCAAAATGATTTTTCTATAACCACTCTCTGCACAGTACAACTATGTAAGCGAATAAAGAAGAAACACATTTTATGTAAGGAAAAATCTTGTGGCAGAGACAGTTAATGCTCACCATGTGTTCACGTGCTGCCCACCATATACTTCCCTTTCTTGCTGTTAGAAGAGAGACCATATGACCAGCGCCAGACATTGAGGAGAAGTAACATGCAGACCAAGACAACAAAGAGTCAGTAAGCAGCCCCTGTAAGATGCTTGCCCTCCTATGACATCCTTGGAAGCCAGCTGTCCCAGGTGACATAGGTATAAGACACAATACAGCTATTCCTGCCTTAACATTCTCACAAGCAAAAGCGTATCTTGATGATGTGGCACTAAGAGATACCAGTATCTGTTACAACAGCAGAGTCAGCCTATCCTGACTAATGTAGATCCTTCTGATATCAATTGATAAAGGGATTCAACCATCTTTGTCATAGTCATCATTGCATTCATACTGCTGAATGCAGAGCCTTTCACATAGTTGAAGGAAAATGAATGAATTTTAAATCACGTCCAGTTTCTGTATATTGTATGGTTAAGCCACCTGTGAACTGTTTTTTGAAATCCAATAGCTGGTTGCCTTCCTGAAATATCATCTCATCATGATCATTCCCTCAGATTAAGATTTTACTATATAGTTAATCAACCTCAAACTCCTCCCTTTGACATTCAAGGTCCTCATAACCTTACTAGGTTGCTATGATTTTACCCTTTTATTTTTCCATTCCAATCTCATCTATCATTATCCACTGACATGCGCCTCCTAGTCATGTTTTTCACTGTTCTAGGAGCAAACATTATGTTTTTGAGAAAATTATTTCAAGACTGAGCTTCCCATGAATGGGTTTCACATTCTGTGAAATTATTATCTGTAGTAGTAAGAGAATGAATACAGAATTTTTAAATATTCAGAATCATATAAAATCTATACACATTTTTATTTTTGTATAAGTTACCTGGGTTGACAATTCAGAGGAGCATTATTAACAAAGGTGCCACTATTTCTGTAACACACTTTCCAGAATCTCCTCTGATAATCTTATACATGAAATTGTTGCCCAGTATTTGTAAAAGGAACGAGGAAAACACTAGTAACTTCTTCCAAACTCACTCCTCTTCTTTTTCCTTAATCCTGCCTCCATTTCCTTAGATCCTACTTTTCACCTTGGGCCCAGAGTAGAATGCAAAGGAGGAAAGCTTCTAAGGAGGATTTTCTTGTTTTTAGAAACACTTCAGAAAATGTAATCATTTATTCTCTGGATGCAGTCATGTTTCTAAATGTTTCAGTCATCATGTCAACATGAAAGGATGCAGCCCAGGGTCAGAGATGACACTTTGAGACAAGGACAGTGGGCAGAAACTTGGAAAGAGCAGAGATCCTTGACAGTGTCACCAATCACTAATGATCTAACCCTGGATCTCTTCTTGTCCTGATTTCTACAACTGAGTCAATTTCTGTTACACATGAGGAAGCAATAGAACCCACTTACCGTTGCTGTGTTAGTCTATAAGGTAATCTTCATAAGACACCATAGAACAGGTGACTTTTATAAAAGACATTGCTGTTTTATAATTCTGAGTGCTGAAGCCCAAATCAAGGCGTTGGTGGGCTTGGTCTTCTTTTAGGCCTTTCTTCTTGGATTCCAGATGGCTGTGCTTTTCACCGTATTTTCTTTTTTAAGTCTATCACCATTGTATTACCTTAGAACCATAATATTTTGCCCCTGGCCCCCAAAGAAACATACACATCCCTTTATGCAAAAGGCATTTAGTCTGTCTGCAAGAGTAGCCAAAGTCCTAATAGTTTCAGCATTGCTGAAAAGTTCCAATCCCAAGATGTAAGGCAGACTCTTAGCTGTGAGCCCCTAGCATGAAAAGTTCAACATGCTCAACATTCAATGGCACAAGATAAGCATTTCCATTCCAAAAGTTACAAACAGGAATACAGGACGAAAGCAAGTCTAACATCCAGCAGGGCAAACATTAAGTCCTGTGGTTCCATGTCCAGCACCTGAAGCAGTCTGTGGCACACTGTGAGCGCCAAAGGCTTGAGCAACTCCACCCCATGGTGCCTCCGGCGGCTGTAGCTCCCAGGGCTTCTCTCCTGGGCCCATTTCAGTCCCTCCTTGCAACTTTCTTTGCATGATCCATGTCTGGCTCTTTCAGACTTCTGGAGTCCCCAGTGCAGTTCAGGCTTCTCCCTCACAGCACCACACACTGCCCTCTGTGGGGCATACTGCCTGGCCTCCCATCCCTTCTTTTGAAAATGTGGGTGGAAGCCTTTCTAACCTCAGAACTCTTGTATTCTGTGTGTGCCTAAAACCAGGGCCACAAAGAAGATGCTGAGGTCTGCTGCCACCTGTAGGAGTCGAGTGCCTGGACTGCTGAGTACCCTGAGTCCAACCCTGAGGAACAAATTTTCTAGGCCCCTGCCATTGTGGCACATGGTGTGGCTGCCACCATTCTGGAACATGGTGCTCTGTAGTTTTTTCCTCAAATCAGTTCTTTCACTTTTACGGTTTGGAGGTTGCAAAGGGTGGGGACTTGCTTTTTCTTGTGATGCCCTCAAGCCATCTTCTTTCTTTCTTTCTTTCTTTCTTTCTTTCTTTCTTTCTTTC